AGATACAACAATATGAGAGAGAACAGGAACTGAAGGAAATTTTGTATTTCGTTAGAACGACGTGAAAATAATCTTCAACTTTGTACGTGTTTAAAATTTTGAATTGTTATCTATACAACAATAAAGCAAATTCGTTTATTGTTTTAACTAACAACAATCGTGTATTGAAATTTAGAACAAATATTATTATTAAGGTAAAACAACTTTATCTAAATTAATCTTATAAGTCTGTCTATCTGGTATTATATATTCGAAAGTATGGCACGTATCGGTTTACCAATAGCCTAGGTTATAGGCTTCATTTTATTAAAATCTCATGATTGAAAAGGAAAATGTAAAAAATAATTTGGCCTTGAGCAGATAAATCGATAAAAAATAATTTATGTAGTAAATAGCAATCCAATAATCGCCATTTTTAAATTTCAATTATAATGATAATTGTAATAAAATGGTAACAATTTAAAATTGTTTTAAAAATTTAAATATTTACGACACTGGCTGGGCTTGTCGTTACTCAAACCAATTGAGCTATCGTGTTCGTGTCAATTTATATTCAATGTTTAATTTATATAGTGCCATCATGTGCAAAAACATGTGAAAAATATTAAAGTTTTCAAATTGTATTATTACCAATGTATGGCAGATATATTATATTTCAGAAAATTATTTATTTTTAAATTTCCGTGGCATGTTAAACTGTCACTGTAGTTTCCGCGGTGACGAAGCCCCGAGCGCAAGCTAGTTTTATAATAAACATTAAAAAATACGTTTTACTGTATCAGTATCAATGTGTTTCCTTTTTCAGGTGCTGAACTTTAAAAATGAGCTACAAATACTTAGATTGTGAGTAGATTTTACAAAGATTTAAAGTTTTTCACTACGCTCTAACAATATTCAATTCTACTAAAATTGATTTATAACAATATTGTTTTTAATCATAAACTGTAATTGTCATATATTAGTCTTATTTCTTAACAGCTATTCCACAATTTGTAGAGCAAAATAAGCACTGTGTAGTCATACATTTTTAATATCAACAATGTGAAAGTTTCATTTAACCAAAAACTGCGGTATAACTGTGAAATAAATAACAATACACATTTCCAAATGACCTCTTGTAAATAAATGATATTGCAATTAACACCAAGCTGGCATGAAAAATTTGAAAACGGTTTTAATTAACCTCTGAATGGCGACTGTATATTTGCCATAATATTGCTGTTTTGTTTCACAATCATATACATATTTTAAATGTTTCTATTCCTTAGAGATATATTTTTGCTAGACATCGTTTGGACTATCATATAATTTTATTCTTTTACTAACTTAATTGTCGTTCTATATTAATTATTCTCTCGATAAAACTTAATATATTTATCCTAACTGTACAATAGAATGGAAAATCATTTTCCATTATATCTTTAAATCAGATCGACCCTCAAATGTTATTTTCGTTCGGAGTGGCTTACGATGAAACTTCGAGATTGAGTCTGAGCAAAATCCATTGTGCTGCGGTTGAATGCATAAACTATACGTCGAACTAAACAATATACATAATAGATTATCTATTTAGATGGTAAATTATTTGACTTTTAATTAGTACTAAGTGAGCTCCTTTGTTGCTCAGTGGTTAAAGTCTTGATTTTGAATCCTCGGAAAACATAATGGTTTCATATTTCATAAGCACTTATTAATAAAAACAGTCAGTGAAACAGAAATACTCGTATATGGGGATAAATGCAGAGAATAATAGATTCTTGAGATAAAGGAAATTTACAAGGCTAAAATAAAAATATTATTTATCAACGGTCTGATAGATGAAATCACAACAGAGTATAAAACAAAGTCGCTTTTTCTGTCCATATGTGCGGTTAAATCTTTAGAACGACGCAACTGATTTTTATGCGTTTTTTAGTAGTAACGATTCTAGAGAAAGGTTTTTGCAACTTTCACAGTTTTTCTGTAGTGTATTTAGTACCAGCATTGTACCCGAGCAAAGCCGGGACGGGTTGCTAGTATTACTCAAAATAACATCAGAAATGTTAATTACTGTAATTAACGTCAAAGAAGTCTTCACACAAGTTTTTGTAATGAATAGACAAACAATAAAAAGACAAAATTGTTATGAAAAAGTTCTGTATTATTAATTACAAATATGAAACAAATATTCTAAGCGCATGCACCAAAAAGCGTATTCAAGTTACTATTACAACCAGCTAAGCGCGTTACACCTCTCTAATTGTGTTATAAAAAACCGTTTATTAAGAAATCTAATTCTAAAATATGACCCGACCCTCTCACATTTGCTCGGGATACGCAAATATCATTAACTTTTACAGTAATGGAATGATAATAAAATAAATTTATATAAATCCTGTTCAAACAGAATTTATGGTTCAAATAGAAACTCGGTATTTTCCAGAACTTCAACTGAAAATAATGAGTTAAAGCGAATGAGAAAATCTATGCTTAGATGCGATAAATAAGTCATTATTAGGTACACTATCGAGCTGAAACGCTGAAAATGAGTTTTTTGTATTAATAGTGGAGCACAAACAAGTACAGAGTTCACAGGTGATATACCCAAGCCTATAGCATCTAAACAAGAAGCGCAGTCAACCTGTTTTGGCTTTGAATATTCGGAGATTCACAGATTGAAACCGAATCGCGATTAAGCTTCACGGAAGGAAGGAATTTCTATATTGCTGCTACCCATTTAATATTTAGATTTCCAGGCGAAGTCCAACATGTTTTAGAAAATACTGTCTATAGTTTACGCGAGTAGTACACATTTAAATAAAACAGTTTAAAACGCGTTTTAAACCGTTAAAGTGTTTTATTTAAATGTTAAAAAATTAGAAACACGTTGGACTGGGTGGGGATCGAACCCACGACCCGTTGTTGATCAGCCATACATTTCCACCATTACACCAACGAGCCCGTCCAACTGAAGAGATTTTAGTATGAATTTTTGTATAAAGAAAATATTCTAGGTATTTTTGTAGACTTCAAATTTTGGGATTGTCAAAACAAAGCGTTATTCCGACACTTCTCTCTAGTGGCAATTGTTTGTTTGGGATCTGGCTTCGTGATTAGCATAGGGAGCGACTTCTCCGCATTGCTATTCCGCCCCGGTCCACACTATTCGATATAAATACTTGTGCCCTTTCAATAGCTAGAAATGTATTGCGGGAAGTTGTGTTCCAGCCAATTTAAGCGGTTACTAGATTTTCCAAATTTAAATAAGACGTGATTTTTGCCATAAGGACACGTTTTTTTCCTATACTAAAACTTTTTTGTTTGTATTGTTTCAGGTTATTTTTTTTTGTTATTTGCCACATTTTTTTTTATTACAAATATTTTTAAACTCGTTTTACTTGCAGCTTTGTTAGTCTAATAATTTGCCTGATAATAATGTATTAAGTAAAAGAAAATCACCTCTATCAAATTATAGAATAAACATTTTCCATAAATTAACAGAGAAACTTTTATTTCGATGTAGATCTCCTTAGTGTGTTTTATTATATTTTCGCACTTCCTTTCTATGTGCTTCCTTTCAACAGTCTTCTAGCAGTATTGTATTAAAACACTTTAACGGTTTAAAACGCGGTAGCGCGTCACGGGGAGACTCCCCGTGACCACGGCTACTGAAAAGCATCGGGCCTTAATTTTCGAATAAGTTTAACTTAATATATATCGCGTTTTAAACCTTTAAAGCGTTTATTTTTAATGTGTACTACTCGCGTAAGCAAGAAATAGTATTTAGTATGTAGTAGGTATGCCAAATAATAGATTGGTTTGGTTTAGTGGTAAGACAAGTTAATGAACATTATTTGTTTGTTTTTTCTGAAAGAATGTTGTATTTATTAAATAAGATATGTCTAAAATTATATACAATAAGACTGGCTTACTTAATTCTGAATATCAAAATTTAACTAATATTTGTATTAACATTATTAGTGCCATTAGAAAAATTAAAAGCATTACCATCATCTGCTTTTAAATGATCTCATTATACTGCTTCAACTTAAAAGTTCCATCTATTTCATAGAAACGGTCATCAAGCGTTTATTTTCCAGGTTATTACGAAGCGTCCCTTCTGTGTCTTGCACTGACATTGACGCATTGTCTAATTCACGGCTCCAAACCATTTTATTCTTTATGAACCCTCAACATGCCAGTGGCTTAAGGTTTATAGTCGTGTGGTGTTATAAAAAGAACGTCCGAGATTATACGATATTCTCGAAGGAGCCATTGTCCTCGTATGAAATAAAACCACGTCTCGCTGTAACTTCTCAACGTAATCTGAGTACGAGTAACATTTTGCTATGCACATAATATGATAGTGCCTATGTGTAATCTTCCATGGGATGTGCTATATAGGAATACAAATATTGTTAGGACTAAAATCTATTCGAATATAAAGACATTATTTAGCTTTTTTAGATAAATAATCAATGTCAAAAATAATACACATTTTTTTTTTATCATAGAGGAGAACAGACAAGCTAGTAGGTGAAAAATCCCAGCCATATACCATAAAATCAAGGTGTACTGTTGACCCATTATGGCTTTGGATATTTCAAGTATATTCTAAGGCGAGAAATATCACCGTGAAAACTTAATTTTAATTAAATAAATTGTTTAATATAAACCACAAATACATTACGTGCTCATTTGCATGTGCCCAGATTCCATTCTAATGCAAATGCGAAGCAAACAGCGAAGACTTACACTCTATTAGAATACGTAGTACGTCTAATATGGTTTTCATAGTAAATGGATTATAGGAAAATATAAATACAGAATGAATTAAGAATTAAATCAGAATCCGTAATTAAATTATTGTAATTGGTTGTGGTTGTGGTAATTAAGCAATTAAATGCATTCGAACTTGAATTAATGTATGTTAACGGTATCACCACAAGCTTTTAAAACTACTATAATAAAAAGTATGCAATAACAGTGAAACTTATCGTCCACTAACAAATATATTTTGTTCACAGATTTTCCGGCTGCTCTCCTATCGCTTGCCGCATGCCTTTCTGAAACTCTAACAATGGAAAGTCTCGCTTTTGACTAACCTTATTCAGGGCGTTTCCCCTCGAAACTAATTTTATAATGAAGTCATGTGTGTGCGAAAATAGGTTAGTGCAGAACTGAATTAACGAACATTGATAAGTGATAACTTTTGTGATGTGCAAATGATTGGTGATGGCGCGGTTACTGTAAGCGAAGGAGCGATTTTAGTGTGGCCTCGGTTTTCTATTAAACGCTGTATGTGGTGTCTAACTTGACTGATGTCGTAAAACTATGTTGACCACCAGGGGGTAAATAACAGAGATGATGTCGAAGACAGACAAAATACGCTACAATGGTTAAAAATAACTAGAGTCCAGCAAAGCATTTGTATGCGGCCTACGTCTTTTCTGCGTCATCAGCAGCGTGTAAAAGACACCATAATATACTATAGATACTTTGACGCGGCGTAACGCGTGACGCTGTACGTGACATACAGTGTATATCGGAGACCATAGCCTAACACTGGGTACGCAACGCCACGGCGTCGTCGCTGGAGGGTCGAGCGGGTGCGGGCGAGGCCGAGGCTCCGCCCGCGCCCGACGCGGAAGCACCCGCGAGACGCCGGCGCCCGCGTCCGCTGTATCGCCGCCTCTTCCACTATGTTCGCACCGCATGGACTGGCGTCAAGTTCGCTCTAGGTAATAATAAATCTCATTTTCCTCTTAACAACTTCGAATACTTTCAAAGTATCATATAGCACGCTCACCCAACAAATCTCATTTATAATTACTAAATGATTCATTGTAAGTTGTAAAAAATTACAAGAACAAATGTCCTACTTTCGTCACACAAGATTGTTCAAAAGTATTGCTTATTTCCTTACCAGCCTATCTCAAGAGACCCAATATTTTTTCTTAACAGCGAATCTTCCTCAAAATGTCTTCTTTTTCTTAGAAAAAGTTTCGAAACAACAGAACAGTGAATTAGGATACTTCAAAATTAAGTTAGGTGACTTGTTTACAAGTTCGTCGTTCCTGAAATATATTTTATTCTTTAAAAGTGTCAAGCCGTTATATTATGTTGTTGAACCTCTAATACTTGTGAAATAAGTACTTAATTGTCTTTGATATTAACAACAATTAAGCACTTGACTTATTCAAGACTTTTTTCCTATTGTTTTAAAAAACATTTGAAGTGAAAGTACTAAGCTGAAAAGATTATTGTTTATTGTTTACTCTTGTAGTAACAGCCTTATTCTTTTGTTTCACTTTTGAACTATAAATTATAAGTTAAAAAATTAGAGTAAGAAATGTTTCAGTAGTATTATCCAGTCAATAGTTAATAATTTCCTTCGTAATTGTTATTATTTTCTATTTAGATGTATTTTTTCAAGCCGACTCATTGACTCAGTAGTAAATCTATTACCCAAACGCGAGAGATCTTGAGATCGAATCTTGATTAAATATAATAGTTTCGCAGTATAAGGAGCGCACGGAAGTTTTATCAACCTGAAAATAACATCGATCAGTGTAACCAACACAGACGTGTTTGTGTATTTAGATCGTGACACGTATAAAAGCAAAGTAGGGTGTGGATAAGGTTATTAATTATCCGGAAAGCTTTAATCCATATAATTATTACCAATGCAATAACCATAAGGGAAGAAGAAAACAGTAAGCCCCGAGGTGGTCAGAGGTCAATCACAACCCTTATATGAAGGCATAATTCTGATAATAGCCTACCATAATGGAATACGGTCCCTTGCGGTCATCATAATACGAGCTTGTAGCGTTCGATTTACGTTAATGTAACTTAAAGATTCATTTTTAAAGAATCAATTGACAGTGCTTTAGCAAATTTTACCGTTATTTTACGCGCGCGTCAGAATTGTAAGTACTTTTAAAATTCGAATTTATTTTAAAATATTGCATACCTTTTTCACCTTGGTAACGAGACAATATAAAAAAATGTGTACAGTGTTTACATTACGAAATAAATCGAGATGGAAATAATGTATATTATTGTAGTATATTTTTAAGGTCATTATTAATTTCTTCTTTCTTTCATTGATCATATATTTATATACCTTTATCTATGTTACATAAATTCATGGCATGAAAACTTTGCAGCGGTTTATTTATCGCACGGATTACTCGCAAACATGTAACCTAATATTTAAACTAAATATTACTTATGACTTAACTATTAAACTAACTAAGTCTTCTTATTATCTTTTCCACGTATTTTTTTACTATTTCAGTGGTCTTAGTTTTAGTTCTAGTCTTTTGGACCTAAAGTTAATAGTTGTTGACTTGACATAAAATGTCTCTCACATCCTCCGCGTTGTAAAAATGAAAATGCTTTCAACCTCAGTACATAAACATACGCAATCTCTTATTTTCCCGAATATGCTACTTATCTGCATTTAGTTTATATTTAAAGGCGCCCTAAAAGTCAACAGTTGAAACAAAGCCAAGTGTCGTCTAGACGCGGAGTTGTGTTGAGAAATATTGGCGTCATAGAACAACTCAGTATTGCATTGTATATACCGTGTGATACACAAAGTTCATAAAATACATTGTTTCCGTGGATACGATACCATATCGGTAAAATAATTAATAAAACGATTTTGAAAAATTGAACGCGATAATTCTGGTACTTCTAAACGGCTATAGCCTGTGCGAATTTAGTAGAACTTTTATTCTTAAATAAATTAAAAATCTTTTTACTTTGAAAAAAATTAAGACCCAGAAATTTTATAACGCTGCTCTAGCCAACTGAGCTATTTATGTCAATGTCGTCATGTACATAATATGTGAAACATATTCAAGTTTTATCTTCCCAAAACACGGAGTCGAAAGGACTCTAAACGTGGATTCAATAAACGTTAATGTAACCAATCACATAGCGGCTCATATCGTGAAATCAAATACGTAAAGTGGAAAAGTGTTGAAGAAAAGAGATTTTCAAATGAAGGAAAAACATCGAAACTGAGCTTATTGAAAAGCAAAAAAACTGAAAGCGACAAAGGAAATGCGAAAAAAAGAGTTAGGTTTGCAGGCGCTGAGCCGACCTCTGAAAAGATTCCGTTCAAGGAACGCTTTGTGAATTTTTTCCATTTCTTGCGGAACTGTACTGTAGGATTACCCTGAAAACTGCGCGGAGTAAGTTCCCCCTTTATTTCATGCTTTCCACATTCGTTTTTAACTTTAAGTAATTTCTTTAAAGATGAGACGGATCTATATTGAATGAAAACGTTGAATAGGCGCGGTTTAAACCGAAAACGAATTTTGTTCCATGTTTCTTTCATTAACTCAGTCCTTGGAAGTATGGGCGAGTGCGTAATGCAATTTATCTTTAACAGCATTATTATTTGGCAATTACATGAGTAGACATATAGCAAAGAAAAGTATACCAGCATGCAATATAAGGTATTAAATTAATTTGGAAAGTACAAATTGAAAAGTACTTTCCGTAGGGTACACTCCGTCGTTCTTGGTCAAATCACTTGGGGATTCAATAATGAATACGTATAATTTTGTATCTAATAATGGTGGTTTGAAATTTTCTATACGCTGTCTATAGTTTACGCGAGTGGTACACATTTAAATAAAACACTTTAACGGTTTAAAACGCCATGTATTTGTTAAACTTATTAATTATTAGTTAAACTTATTATTATTATATTATGTCTCCCCGTGACCACGGCTGCTGCAAAGCATCCGAAACGTCGGGCCGAAGTTAAAAATCATTTTCAAATAAGTTTAACTATTATATCGCGTTTTAGACCGTTAAAGTGTTTTATTTAAATGTTTTCCATACGACTTAAACGGTTCATTATAAAAGTTGAAAAAAGTAATGTAACCAACTAAGATAAAACAAATGAAAAATACTAAATATTCGAATTACTACCAACTGTGACTCTATACGTTTTAACGATCTTTATAACGCCAATAAAAATTGTTGAACAAAATGTCTAAATAGCCCCGACAGTACACAATCTCGGTTAGCAAATGTGTTTCCCCTACAACCCCGGACAGTTGGGTTAACGTGCAGCTTTGTCAAACAAACTCTTGACTGACTAATGAAATTTCTGATGTGCTCTCTATCGATTAATCTAATGGAAATTTTTGCATGAATAAATTAATTTTATCGGCTCTCACAAACGTAGTATATAGGTCGCGTTAATTATTAACATTTTAAGCGAACTGACAAAAACGAAGGGCTTCAATCGAGCATAGTCGCAGCTTTTTAGCTGATGGAAACTTTATGTAATTACTTCCTTGCAAAAGTTGTGACTGAAGTTTCAAAGTCGCTGGATCCAGCTTTTAGTTAGATCTAACCTTTCTAGTTGCAAGGACATTGATTAAGTTCTAACCGTTAAAAACCGGTTCAAATTCAATTACTTTATTTATACTGCGTCGTAAATTTTATATTATTATTTATCATATCGTTGTCTTTCGAACTGTTCGGCCGATGTGAGCGAGAAGAGGCTCCAAGAAGAATTATGATAATTCTTCTTTGGAGCAATCGAGGAGTTAACCTCTCCTGATGATGCCGTCCACACGTGATGGCGAAACGTCGAGAACCTCTTCTCGCTCACATCGGCCGAACAGCCCGAAAGACAGTGATATGCTGAACGATGGCCGTGAAAGCCTTACACAATTTATTATTATTTGTGTTTGAATAGTATCCTTTTTGTATGAAGTAGACTATTTTTCTAACCATTTACTAAGAATTTTTTTATTATAACCAATCATTTAATTACATCAACACCCATTAATAACCTCGATTACAAAGAGTTACTCAGCTTTACAGTTCTAATAAAATTCTTAATCCATCTCCCCTCTGCAATGAATGTAGATTTCATTACCAGTGGTCCCTTAAGAATAACGTGTCACATAATCATAAAGTCGGTTCAGACGGACAGACCGATAAAACCCCTGGGTCACGTCATATCTTCATCGTAAACATTGAAACCCAGTGAGGAAACATAAAAGGTGGATTATATGATGAAGGTCAATTGATAGAAAACAAGACAAAAGATGGAGAAAAAAATCGATGACATACGATAGAGATTCATTCTTTTTTCAAATGTTAATAAGATCTCGTGTAAGTTTCATTGGAGATGTGAAAAATCAAAGCAAAATAAGGTGAATACATATTACGTCTGTTTCAAATTATAATAAAAAGAATTAATACAACTATAAACTTTTATAGCAGACTAATAGTAAGTTATAAAATTAAAAGTAAGGTAGAACAATTTATGACAATATCATTTTTCGACATGTCCCTTGTCATAGAATTTTACTTTTGACGATAATTATTGGCTTTTTTGTAGCACTCTTTTTTTGGTAAAAGATACTAATTATACAAATATGGCTTATGCAACAACTTCCTGTATGTAACAGTAGTCGAACGACAAAGTTGCACCCTGTTAGATACTTAAACTTGTCATGTAATTTGTAAGGCTTGTTAAGTAAGGCTATCAGTAACTGTCATGAATGATAAGAGAGATGTCTCCAATTATGCCCCAATTATACGGTCCAGTTTAATTGAGTCCGAAGCGTATATATTCCTCCTGAGGGGGTCAATCTCTTGTTTAAGTATCTTGATACAATGTATGTAATATGCCAGGTCAATTCACACTTAGTTATGAGAAAGTTTAACTAAT